AAAAATAAAAATAAAAAAAAAATAAAGGCGATTTCCTCAAATTTTTTTGAGAAGGTAAGTAATAAATCGAAGGAGTTACGCAATATCCTTGTAATTTTGGTAAAATGGCTGCTGGTTAACCATTTTGTCAAGAGGTTTTATATGAAACTTGATTGGCAGGAAAAAATTAAAGAACCGCCTTGGTAGATTTCTATGGTACTCAAACTTTAGATGCAATTCTTGTTATCTTCTGCAAAATCCTGTCCAATGATGTGATCACTTAACTAAAGGGGCATTTATCACTGAGCTTTGGAAGTTTATATTTCACAGTACCTTACTTTGCTTCTTTAGAAGAGGTTTGTAGGTTGATGACCAGCAAAAGACTAGTCAATTTATGATATCATAATCGTGGCTTTACACCAGGGATCTACTTTGTGTCTGTACTAGTTTATCCTATTTATAGATTGACTGATACTCCCTCCGTTCCAGTTTATGTGAACCTATTTCCTTTTTGGTCCGTTCCAAAAAGAATGACCCCTTTCCAAATTTGGAAACAATTTAGCTTAAACTTACAATTCTATCCTTAATGAGAAGTTTTTATAACCACACAAATACACTGGCCCCTTTTTGACTTGTTTAGGACCATAAATTCCAAAGGTCTTCATTTTTTCTTAAACTCCGTGCCCAGTCAAACAGTTCACATAAATTGGAACGGAGGGAGTAGTATATATGATGGGATTCCACCGTGAATACCATTTGCAAACAATATTCGAAAGGGTCAATCAATGGTTTGAATTATCGAGAAACATTCAAGATAGCAAGAGTTTTTGGATAAGTAAAAGTAAGAATATATACACTACTAGTTCAGGGAAGAAGAATGACCTTGATGTGAGATTAGACGGGATTATGGCATCTGAATGCAAACAATTCAGATATTTAGGGTTAGCCTTTTAGGGAAGCATAGACTATAGATTGAATGTAGATGAATTTAGGGCCTCTCAAATTTGACATATCCATAAGATGAGTATTGTAGAAATGCTTATGTCAAGATGGATGTGCTATCTTACAACATTAGAAAAGATTACAAGTAGTCTCCCATAGAAAGTGCAGCATACACAGAGGATAAAATTAGATACACCCGCTTAAGATCTTTGATTGTATCGTATGTACACCTCCAAATGTCCGGAGGTGTGTCACTAAGATGATTTATCAAAAGAATCGAGATAGACCTAAAATCAAATGGAGGGACATTGTCTCAATGGACCTACAATCCCTTCACATCCATACAGATTTAACAAAGAACATAGCACAATGGAAGCATATATCCATAAGCAATACGAACAGTTTGGAATTAAGGTTTAGTCATTGTTGCTACACTTACAGGATTTGTGTTTGCCAAAAGTCCTTTTAGTTTGGTTAGGGATTTGTATGTTCGTGTAGGAATAAATGTGAGATTTAAAGAAGGGAAAAGGTCTAAAATTGCCCCTCTAGTATACTATATTGTTTACTTGTGCCACCCGTTATACTATTTGTCCCTACTGTTAATGAACTTAAAATATTTGCACTTATCCCTATCGGATCTGTACCGTGGCAGCTGGCCCACTCCATTTTTTCCATGTCAGCCTCCAAGTCACATGACCAAATGCACATCGCCATCCTCTTCCCCAACCATTTCTTCTTCCACCCCCACTCAAAGCCACCAATACCTCCAAGGCTCCAACCACCATTACAACCAAACAATCCCAAATCAGATTCAAGTTACTTCATATTTCCCAAAACAACTTGATTCTCATATTTTTTTCATGACTTTTCCAGATTTCGAAGAATTTGACGAGTTCTTCAACTTTTCTCACTATTTAGAAATGGAGGTTTCAAGTTTTCTTCTCTTAAATCTTGATAAAATAAGTGTTAAGCTCCGAATCTAACACAAATAAATGATTTCTAGAAGATTTAAACAATAAATCACTGAACATCCATTAAATTTTCAGATCCGTGAACTTGGACCGAAATGGGTTTTTAATTTTTTTTTCAAAATTAATCCAAACCAAGACGACAACAATCCGATTTTGAGCACACTTGAAGCTCAAAACTCAACAACGCAACTGGTAATCTTCTGAGTTTTTTACCTTCTTGGTTGGTAGGCAGAGCTCTATTTTTGCTTTGGCTTTGGCCTTGGTTTTTACCATAAATCATATTTCATGGCTATAGTGGTTCACCTACGCTCGGATATGATGTTTTATGGCCTAACTCTGTATTTCAAGTGTGTTTCTAGCCATTTGTCACCGGCCAGTAGTGGTTTCCGGTTAGGTGAGTGTTTGGTGAGAAGAAAAGAAATAACAAGAAATGAGAAGAATATGAGAACATTTCAGGATGAGAACATTTAATAGAGGGAGAAGAAGATGAGAATGATCTTTTGGAGGTTTTGGAGTGTGTGGGTCTGTGAGTTAAGAGAGGGAGAAGAAGATGAGAATTTTTTAATAAAAAAAGGGTTGGGTTAATTAGTGGAACCTGCTTACTTGGCTGCTGACATGGACAAAATATTAGAGGAGTCAGATGCCACGGTGGAGGGACGTTAGGGCAAAGGGCAATTGTGCAAACTTTGTTAATGGTAGGGGTGGATTTGGACGAAAAGTATAACGGGAGACAAACGTAAACTATATACCATAGTAAAGGGGCAAATTCGGACCTTTTCCCTTTAAAGAATTCCTAGGTTTCGAGTATTCATTCTAAAGGCAAATTCCAGTATTGGAATAAAATAGGCCCAAATGGACCATAATTGATATAAAGGATCTATATTGTGACCCTACTTGTTTGGAATTGAGGCTTAGTTGTAAGCTCATAGATCTTCTTTCTACAGGCCCTGTTTTGATTCTAAACGAAAATTTTAAATTTTAACAAGTTAAAATAAATAAGCCTGCAGTTGGAGATCTTGTTAGTGGATACATAAAGAGAATGAAACAAATACAAGTGAAACAAAGAGCATATTGTAGCATAGCTCGTAGAGAATTTCTCTCACTGTCTTATATGGGCCAAGGGTATATTCATGTTATGGATTCTCACATTTCAGATTGCTCTAAATAAACCTTCTGGTTTGCAAGTCCTTCCTGGAGGGTTGTTCCAGCAGCGGACTGTCTTGACACAACTCCAATGGCATGTGAGCAAGCTGACAACCTCTTCATCGGGTTGTCAAAAAACACATCCTGTCCCAGTTCATCGCCTAGGAAGGGGTACATCAGGTGAGTTATCACGGATACATGAATTTCTGCTCCAAGTTTACTTATTGAATAAAGAATGAATTTCTGCTACAAGTAAAATATGAAAGATGACTTTAATGTTATGTCATGGTATCTCCTTTACCGAAAAAGAACAGAATTACATAAACCTGTATCAATGGTAGCAGGGAATTTTATATTTGAATAACTGAATGGAAATACTAAATCTAATTGTAAAAAAATTAACATTCAAGCTATCTTTCACCTCCATCCAGCGAAGAAAACAGAAACACATTAATCGCCGATTCTGGACAACATTGAAGCGAAGTGATAATGATATGGTTTTTGAAATAGTTTTTGTCCCTTCAATGCTAATTGTCGTTCAATGTGACAATCAGTGTCTTGATTGTTGGCTTCCAACTTCGCTCTCGAATTTTTACATGATCTAAAAATCAGTATATTAGTCCATCTTAGAAGAAACTCTCCATGGTATTTTGTATGTAATTTCCAAAAGATGGAGCTTTAATCGTGCTCTGTCATGGCAGCACGTTATTCTTGCCTAGTTTTAGTTTTCAAGAAATGTGAATTTTGTCTCCCCCCATTTTTCTTAATAGGACCTAGTAGTAGTTTAATCATGATCGTATTTTCGAGATCTAGCAACCGATACGAAGTCGAGTCATCATGCTACAGAGCTTCTTTCTGGAATTATGAACACTTTGTAACAATATAAAATTTTCATTTTGACAGTTCCCTGTCTTTTTTTTCTGAAATCAAGCAAGAAAAAACAATCTTATTCCTTTTCTGGGATGTTCCAGGAATACTTCTCTGTGCGAAAACAAAGCTCGCTAAATCTCGCCTTGCGGCATATTTTGCTGAGGGGACGTCGGTTGTTGAAGACAAGTATGTTGAATCTGCTTCACCAATTATACATGCCCTATTTTCCTGACATGCCTTATGCTGCTTTTGCTAATTTCATTCAGAGTGATAAAATAATAAAGGCAGCTTGATGTCTATGTTCCAGTGTCGGACACTGATGCATCGAGTTGTCTTATTAATGTTATTAATGTTCTGAAAGAGATTGTTAATTAAGCATGCAAAACTCTCTTGATTGGAGAAAATTGTGGAAACATATGCTAGTCTGCGTACTATCTTTATATTGTCACTAGCTATCAACATATAACACTTTTCAGTCCCAAGATAATGCTCCCTCCGTTCCAGTTTATGTGGCAACATTTCTTTTTTAGTTCGTTTCAAAAAGAATAATAGCATTCTAAATTTGGAAACAATTTAACTTAAACTTCCCATTTTACTCTTAATGAGAAGCTTTTATCGCCACCTTCATTATGTTAAAGATGGTGAACTTTATTTGTATAGATACACCAACTCAGAGTGCAAGAAAATGAGGAAAATTAGCAAGATATATCGGGCGCTTGTAAGTGGTGTGATTGATATGGATGAGGTATTATTATAGCATTATTCTCACTTACATTCCCCCTTTTATCCTTCTATGCATGTTTTACATTGTAACCTTCTAACACTTTGTCTCGCCTCAGTTTGTCTGGTTTCATTTTGTCCGTTGGAGTGTCTGTTCTAGGGTAGCAATCCATTGGGTTATTGGAAATTAAAAGTAATTTTGACTGATAGGTTGTCATCAAGCAACCAATTGGGACGATTAAATATCCTGGAGTTGCTAAAGGGTTGTATGTTGCTTCTCCTTCAGGTTTTCAAATTTGTTTATTTTGGATAAACAGTCTCCTGGATTAGCTTTTATAAAGATTCCTTCAGTTGTTACCATTCTCAGTGGTGCTTCAAAAGACACTATTTTTGGCTTAAATTCCTTCTGAACTTCGTTTCCAGGGAAGCCAGCTCTGAGCAGTGTTCGCGTTCTTGAAAGAGATTTAGAGAATAACAGCACATTGGTCCAGGTAATAGAAGTCAAAGACATAAGAAATTTATTACTATAGCCACCTTCCTTAACCTTCCCTACCCTGGAGAAGGAGATGGAACCTTAATATTTTCTTTCCTTCATGTTGTATGTTTTGAACAGGTTGAAATTCAATCTGGAAGGCCACACCAAATCCGTATCCACCTCTCTTTCATTGGACTTCCACTAATTGGTAATCTGAAATTTTATAAGACATTCTCCCCCATCATAAAAAGATAAAAATAAAAATAGAAGTAGAACTCAGTTTGTCTGTTAAAAGAAATGCCCAAAAAAAAGGAATAAATGACACACGAAGATCACCAACTTCAGATGGCCAACCATATGTTGACCAGTACTTTGACTCTGGTTTGGTGCAACGCACACGTTCATAGTTCTTAGTTCTATGAAACCATATCAGTAATATCTACCTTAGTGCATGAGTAATGGAGAAAAGGTGATTGAAGAACCTCAGACTATACATTGGGTTATGATAAGAGAATGATCTTGGAATACTTCCTCAACTCAGTCTGTGGATTATGCATCTTCTTTTGTTACAGAAATGCCAATGATCATTCTGATGAAGATGATATGAGGCCCTCTACTTCTAGAAAATATGTGATTGGAACTGTGGGGGGTTGGAATGTGTTTTCATCCTCTGGGTTATAGCCAAGCAAATATGATTGGCTTATCAAATAGTTATAATATTGCAGGTTTATTTTTCCTTTGATACCATCTTGGTACATTAATTAATAAACCTTTACCTTATCAAGAAACAATAAAAATTGCAGGTTTAGATGCTTATTCCATTGACAAACACTTCCAAGCTTAAAAAGGAACAATTACCATTTCCTTATGGTATCATCCATTATGTAATTTCCTCAACAAGTATCTTGTGCTCAGATTTTATAATGTGTATGCTTCCCCTGTATCCCCCTGTACTATCTGGTCAATGCAAAAGCTAAGAATGTTCGCCTGAGCTAACTGTAGTTCTGTCGAAGCTGAATTCTAGGTAATAATCCTACTCCCTTCATAGACCTACTGGGTCTGTTGAAAGAGATTGGTTCTGAAATCTTAATTTGTATACCTTGAACAAACTAACCAACCAAAATCGATTAGTTGTTGCAAATAATTAGGACTGCTCTTGTAACATTCTCTGAATGCTACAGCAGTTCTTCTGCTCTTGTTATGTAGTCAAGCAGCTATTCTGTTGGTTCCTTTCTTTTCATGATTAATAAAATATTGTATATCTTACCAGGTGATCCTCTTTATGTTTCTGGCGGGCAACCAAAGTGCTTTGATCCTGAATTAATGGATGAAAGTTTTGAGAAAGATGGGTATGGAATTAGAGTTCTGTTTGTCGCATTTTTTTAAATATTAATTGGTCCCTCGGTCAGACATCTTATTGTTTTCATGGTAGTAAATACTAGTTTTGTGTGCTATTTATAGTACCCTGCTTCCACAGCTTTATCATATTAAAGCAAGGAAGTAGTAATCAACAGTCCTTTTTCATGACAGTTATGGACAACAAGCTTACAGATTTCTCTAAAAGCATATAAATTATGCCTATTTTGGACGAAAAGAAGCTTTATTCTTTATGCCAATTTTGAAGATAGTCAAATTACTTAAAATTGAGACAGAAAATACCTGAGTTTTTTTGTTTTGTCTAATCACTTTAAACAATAACAATAGTTGCTGATGCTGCTAATATCGTGACCTGATTTTAGTTGGCTTTACTTTTTCATTAGCGGCTATCAAAGACCCGAGAATCCTGTTCCTGGAGACTGTGGATATAACCTGCATGCACATCAAATAGTTCTTATACACCCAATCACAAATGAGGTTAGTTGTTTTTCACAATATTGTTTTAGAAGCCAGTAATTTCAATTCTAGTCATTACCTAGCCACAAAAAAATAAAAATTCTACGTTAGTCATTTGCAGTTTTACATAACTGATCAGAGGAATACTTAACTATGATGCTTGTTTTGATGTTTAACAGTTAGCCATATATCCTCTAATAATTCTTTTAAAATGAAAGCTATGGATGAATAAAAGTTTTGCTACCTAGATTAAACAAGTAAATTCAATATATTGCTCCATTAAGCCCCACTAATTGCTCGTTTTATTGGACAAAATTTTGCATGTAAGGCCTTCAATATGCACAGATTAAATGAATCTAACCTCTCCCTAGAAACCTAAGGAAGGGAAGTTTTCCAAACGAGTCCCAAGACTATGACCTTAGTAATGATCTGATTCTCGTTCTGTCAATTATTCTCATTTGATCCTCAATTTATTGCATTTGACTCTAAATAATCCTTCCAATTACTGTTGATAATCCAAACAATGACTTGTCTATCGCCCTCAAACTGCTCGGTGAGAAATAAGAGACATGGGAGAGAGATTTGGGAGAAAGCATGAGACAAATGTCTTATGCCTGGGTTGTTTTATATTCACGCTTTTCAAAGTATACAATTACATCTCCCGATGTAGAGCACCTACACAACCTATATAACACTCTCCCTCAAGATGGTGTATTGAAATCTATGTTTATAATTAGCTCAAAGACCGTCGAGGGACTTGGTGATTTGACCTTATAAGTTGTGTGACAATATGTATCATGTCCTGAGAGAAAAGACAAAATAACAAATGATTTCTGGGTACTTGGGGTCCTCTCATGAAGCATTGGAGTAAATGCAATATGAATTGACTTGATTATTACGCATAAGTCCATCCAATCGTTCTCTCTGAACTTCAGTTTTCTTAGTCGATTAATTCATCATTCATATGAATTTCATAAGTTGTAGTACTATGACTCAATATTCTGCTTTTGCATTGGATCTTGAAACCACATTTTGTTTCTACTCTACCAAGATACCAGTTAGAAAGCATTATTTGGAAGTATAACGTCTTAAAATTGATCTGCTCAATGTGCCCGTGCACGCAACAGTTTTCTCAATCCTCATAGTGCATTACTTTTCATGGAGAAGATTTATATGAACGATGCGAATCACTGCATCCCAATAGGTGCACACTGCACACAGAGAATCCAAGAGTTAATTTACAATGCTTATTGAGAACGTAATACCAGGTCAAGTTATGATGAGATAGCTTAACTTTTTGATCAACCTCCTGGAAAACGAAGATGCTCCCCTTCACCCGCTATAAGCTTAACCTTTGGATACACATGATGTCAATAGGCGTAACATCTGTCATGCCTATGTCTTCAAGAATATCGAGAGCATACTCCCTCTATGAATTGGCAAGACCTAATCGGGATTGAGGTGAGTGCTTAGGAAATACCTCAATATAACTTGCCTAGATCCTGGTACAAGAATACTGACTGAATGATGTTTCAATTTGGTAATGCCTCCAAATCCTTACACGCATTTCATCCACATACATTACCAAATATACATATCTGATGCAGTGTCAAGAGAACACTGAATGATCAACTTTCATTGTGGGTTATGCCAAACTCCTTAATAACTGTGCTAAACTTGCCAATCCATGATTGAGGTGATTGTTTCAAATCATATAGTGATCAAAGCACAAGACCACTATACTTCGTTTGAGCAACAAAACTTGGTGGTTTCTCCATGTATACTTTCTCTTCAAGTTCCTGATGGAGAAATGCATTTTCTGATGTCAGTTGATGAAGAGGCCAATCACAAACAACAATGATGGATAGGAAAAAACTAATAGAAGCAATCCTAGCCACGGGAGAGAATATATCATTATAGCTAGTACAAAAATCGATGCATAACATTTGGCTACCAAATGTGCCTTAAGCCGATTAACCTGCCCTTAAAGATTAACCTTCACTAACGTAACACACATTGGCAACCAACAATTGATTTGCCTGAAGTAGGAATGAGCTCCAAGATATCACTAGAGTGTAAATCAAACATATCTAAAACATAGATTGTGACCGGACGGAATCAGAAAAAGTTTCTTCTCTAGATTTAGCATTGAAATAAAGGACAAATACGACCCAAAAAGGCATAAGGGTGATGGCAAACAATGTTTACTCAAAACAATATATACGGTCATAACGATTACGAGTAGTAGGATACCTTTGTAAATGATCACTAGTGAGTTATGTGTAGGTGACAAGCTGTAGGCGAAGGATCCGATGCAAGATGTGAATCATCCAAACATAGCATAGGACGCTAGCAATGAGGATAAGTCAAAAGTGTTGATCTTTACAAAAAAAAAAAAAAAAAAACAAGGTCAACAATATCTATGTTGTGAAGGGATGAAGGAAAAATGTAGAATCTTCTAGTGGTATTGTTGGTAAAACCATGGAGGTGTTGAGATGTTCAAAGGGAGGTATCGGATGAGGCTAAGTTTCAAGAAGGTGATATCAGCCAATAGAAGGTACAAAAAAAATTGTTCAAAAGTTACAAGGACGGAACAATAAGTAGTGTGCGAATGGTCTCGGTGAGATAGATATTCTTCCTTTTGACTTCCAAATATAAGAAGAGGTATAATAAAGGAGACGTCTAATGAATAATTTGATGAGAGTTCATAAACTAATGTAATATGGAAAACAAATGTGCAATTTTTAGAAGTCAGGAGCTGTGTCTTTTGCAAGGTAGGGGAAGGAGGGGAATGTGCAGTTTTGAGAAGTTCAGTGAGGAGCCAAAATCGACGCCGATTGCCAACCATCACTTGCAAGCTCCCACGGACCGACCCAAAGACCAAGTCAGTTTCTAGGATATTCTATTGTTGAATAGGGATGGTGGGAAGTTAGGACATGTACATATCCTAAGTTTTGTTTAATTTAGCCAACTAATCACCCACCAGCTTCGTAGCTGAGTTTGATATGCTAGAAGGGTATAAGCAGTAGTCTTGGTCTTTGCTTTTACTCTTATAGATGTCAAGACTTTTTGTTTGATGTTGTATTATCGAAGCGAATGCCACACGTGGGGAATGAGAAAATGAAAGGGATGTGGAAGGGCAATGAGTAGGGATGAAGTGTGGGAAGGAGACTGGCGAGGTAAAGGAGGGCTCATGTCAGGTCATAGTGGTGCTCCGAGAGAGGGAGGGATGGCTCCAAATGCCTTTTTTAATGTGATTTTCTTTTGCCTATTTTTTTTCCAAGTTTGGCCTTTCATTTTTTCCCATTCTTTTGTTTCTTTTGTAAAATTACCCTTCTAGCCTCGAAAGCATCCACACGAGAGATTGGAAAATTGCTATTATTTGGCTGGTTGGTGAATGGAAGGATCATTCAAAAACAAATGTGATTGATTAGAGATTTAAACAAGGGAAAAGAGCCAAAATTGCCCCTAAACTATTAAAAATAGAGCAATTACGCCCTCGTCTAATATGGTCCCAAATGTACCCTCGCCATTAGTCAAATGGCTCGTTTATGCCCCTAAAAACTAACAACTCCAACTGTGATTTTAACCTATTAAAATAATGTTTACTTGCAAACATGGGTTTCTGTTGATTGACTTAATTATTAGGAAAGATTTGATTCTGACTGGGATTTGATTTTCTTCTAATTGGTTGTAATTTATTTCCCTTCCTAAAATAGTCATGGGACCTAGTGTATAAATACCTTTGCTTAGGGATGTAAGAAACACACGGAAATACAAGAAGGCTTTTCTGCTTCTCAAATTCTACATGGTATCAGAGCCATTGCTACCTTTTTTAGATGAATTATCTCCGTCGCAGCATTAAGGTTCCGTTTTTATCAAAAAGGTCAAGTTTTCTTTCTCCTGGTGGTTGTTCGCTACGTAAACTCCTTCTTGTCAGTTTTTGGTTGGAATTTTCTTTTATGTTGGGGTTGCTGAAACATTCCGAGCTTATCCCAACCAGTTTTGATTTTTCTATTCACCGGAGTTAAGGTTCTGTCGAGACAAATTTGGTTTCCGGCGAGGCATATTATTTTTGAGCAATTTTCTTCTGATTGGGCAGAAAATATGGAGGCAATCAAGGAGACGGTTTCTGGAGAAATCTTGTCTTCGGATGAAATTTAGCTTCTCCGTCGCCTCCTAGACAAACTTGACTCCGCTAATGTTGCCACATCCGCAATCAGGTATTGCCTTTGCTGCTCACTTTAATTTTTGAATTTTTGATTCTTGTGCAAATAGACACATGACAAGCTCTTTTCAAAACTATTCTCCGTGTCTTAAAAGAGATAATGTTGAAATAGCCAATGGTTCTTTCACACCAATCTCTGGAACAAGTTCTGTCGTTTGTACTTGTGAGAATGTACGGGAGAAAAATCTATTTATTAACAATGATACAGTGATCCCTATATATAATACATATTCTACTCCTAATATATATAGGACTAGGACATATTCTACTCCTACTACATATGAGACTAGGACTATTTACACATAACTATCTAATACTCCCCCTCAAGCCGGTGCATACAAATCATATGTACCGAGCTTGTTACATATGTAACTAATACGAGGACCAGTGAGGGACTTGGTGAAAATATCTGCAAGCTGATCATTCGACATACAAGGCCACTATAAAGAGGAAGGCAGTAGACTGAATGAAAGGGAGTTGATTTTATTAATGAAGTAGTAGCTCTTTATATAGAGCAAAATTACAACAATGAATCTTCTGGAAGATACAGATACATACAACTAACAAACTCCTAAAGAAAAGGCTAACAAAAAGATACAGAAAAGATACAAATAAGTCTATGTTAATGGATAAGGTTGAATCAGTTAAGAGTCCTTTACACGCCCCCGCAAGGTGGGGATGGTATCAACCAGACCCAACTTGGGATACATACGTAGAAATGCAGAGCTGGGCAGCGGCTTCGTAAGAATATCTGCAACTTGATCTGCAGCATGAAGGTGATGGACCTCGAGAG